CCAAACAATTTTCCACGAAGTTGGCAAGTTTTTTAAGTGGAAAATTGGTGGTTCTCTATTATACATCTGGAGGCACATTTATTGAAAACCTTATTAAGATTAGCTGAAGCTGATGATAGTAAAACTGGATGATTATGTATGTATTTAGCTTCTCCTTTTGTTTTGTTTTCTTGGCTTTCCACCATGAATTAAATAATGACAATATGCTTTGGTACTGCTTTTTATAGAAAACATGTCTCAACTCAGCCAGGTGGAACAGAATAAAGATTATGAAGAGATTAGCAGAACAGCTTCATCACTTGAGGAACCCTCAGGCAAGTAGTACAGCAGACTTCATTGCTGCTCTGCACACAGGCGGCTGACTGGTTTTATGGAGGAGGGGCTGGCAGCACAGAGAATGGCCTTATAGATATTGGGTAGATGCTGCCGCTAGGCCCTTGAACAAAATTGGAATGTACGAGAGGTTTGTGTTTGGTGCCATCCCATTAGCCCTTCTCTTACTCCTCTTCTACCTCCTGAAGTTCCTTCTACCTGCCCCACAAAGCACCTAATGCCTTAATGCTTCTCTCTGGCTGTGCAAAGCCCTCCACAGTTTTATATCTCCCAGAGTCGAGTATGTAACTATAATGGGAGTGGTTCCAAAACTATTAAAAGAAATTGGTTGAAAGGTTGGCCGAGTAAAAGGACTGCTTTCTCTGGTTTTACCTATAATGGTTAAACTGTGGACTAATAAAATCAGCCTCATTTCCTTTACTTTTTCACATGATGTGGTTATATTCAAGCTTGTAGGATAGCCATAGGATTTAAAAATTAGAGTTATTAGTGAAGGAAGAATTCTGTCTTCTTAATATAGTTTTTATAGTAGTAGAGGAATTTTTGAGAACTGGATTGTCCTGGGCATCTTTTCTTCAATAATTATAATGCTCTCTTAGGAGGAATTTTCTTTCCATTTTACTTATACTGAAAATAGCTATTGCCACTTTTTTTCTTTCTTATATTAGCATCAAAGAATGAATATGAGAAAAGCAGAGATGAATTGAAGAAAAAGAAAGCTTCTGGTCCAGGCAAAGTAAGTATTTCACTTCTCTGGGAGTAAAAATGAACCCCTTTGTTATGGACCACATCCAGGAGAGTAAATCTTACTTTGGAGATTGACTTAACAGAGTTCCCAGTAGCCTTATCCTCAACTCTTAGAAATCTGGATTCTCTTTTACTTATATTTTTGAATTCTCTATTGTCTTCATTCACGCTGTTCCCTATAACCACTCATATACAAGTTGCCTCTTTTATTAGTTTATGAATCTTTCTTTTGCCATACAAAGACATTTTAATAACATACTCTTATTTTACCCCTTTTATTACACAAAAGGTAGAGGATAATGTACTCTATTCTACATCTTAATTTTTTTAACTTATTATGGAAATCATCCTATATTAGTATATTGAGAGCTTCCTACTACTATATGGCTATACTTTATATAGCCAGTTCCCAATAGATGGACACTTGGATTGTTTCCAGTCTTTTGTTACAACAGTGCTGTGATGGATAATGTCGTGTATACATAATTTTATGTGGATGTGGTAAGCTCCCAGAAGCAGGATTGCTGGGTTGTGTCAGAAAGTCCCTAAGACCACTGTCAGGTTAGGTAATTCACAAGAGGACTCGCAGGACTCAGCATATAGTTGTACTTACTACAGAGAAAGAATACCAGGCAAAATCAGCAAAGGGAAAAGGCACCTGCAGTGAAATATGGAGGAAACCAGGCACAAGCTTCCAAGGGTCCTCTTCTAGTCAGGTCACACAGGATATGCTTAATTCCCTAAGCCATGAGTTGTGACAACATATGTGAAATGTTGCTAACTAGGGAAGCTCATAAGAAACTCAATGCCCAGGATTTTTATTGGAGACTGATCACCTAGGCATTCCCTGCCTATCATGTACCTGAATTCTAGATTTTCAGAAGAAAAGTAGGTATTCAGCATAAACCACATTGTTTGTACAGCTTAGGCGCAGTGAGCCACTCTTGTCAGTTAGAGTAGTAGTAACCGTTCTAAAATCCAAGTTCTCAGGTGCCAGACAAGGGCCAACCTTACAAACAGGCTTTCAAAGGCTAGCAGTCAGCCTTACTCTGTTAACTCTTTTCTGCATGTTGGTCAAAAGGCAAATGCCAAATTTCCCTTTCTGGGGGTTATACCATTTAGCACTCATATTTGCAGTGTATTAACTACCCCATTTAAAGAGCTTCACATCACTTTTCACTGGCTGAAAACCAGCTTGTTGCGGCTTTGTGGAAAAAAAATCTAGGTTCAGAGAGAATGCTCCCACAAATAGATTACTTATGTCAAGATCATCAATGGAAACTGTTCTCTCTTAGTTTTTGTTTGCTGACAGGCATAGGGATAGTAATTCTTGGAATTAAAATTCTTTTGAATAAAATAAGCCATTTTTGCTAACATTTTTGGCACATACCTATAATCCCAACTACTCAGGAGACTGAGACAAGGAGAATCACTTGAGCCTGGGAGTTTGAGGCTGTAGTGAGCTGTGATCACGCCACTGTACTCCAGGCTGGGTGATAGAGCAAGATCCAGCCTCAAAAAAAAAAAAGAAAAACCCATTTAAAAAATGTGCGAAATAATCCATTTTTTTCTTTGCAGCTTCCAGCAACACTTTCTTCCAAATATCCTGATGATGACCCAGACTACTGTGTATGGGTCCCACCCGAAGGTAAATTGTTTTTACTTTTCTTTTCCTTTAGGATTTATTTATTTATATTTTTGAATAGGTAATATATATTTAAGGTTCAAAATAAGTAACTTACAAGAGAATGTAGTGAAAAGTCTCCCTTCTGATGGAACAGGTAGATCTAAAGAGATGTATCAACCAAATTATGTACCCTCTTTGGCTCCTTATTCAAACAAACAACTGTCAAAAAAAAACATTAGCCAGTCAGGTTAATTTTGAAGACTGCCTGGATATTTGATGATACTAAGAAATTATTGTTAATTTTTTAAAGTGTGAATGATGTTGAGTTATGTTTTTTGGAAAAAGTCTTTGTCTTCTAGAATATATACAAAAGTGTTCACAGATAGAATGATATCTGGGATTTACCTTAAAATAATCCAGTAGTGGAGGATGAGGGAAGATAGGGAAAGGGTAATAATAGATAAAGGAGGATTGGCCACATACTGATAATTATTAAAGCTGAGTGATGGGTACGTGGTGTTCATTATATTTTTCTATTTACTTTTGCATGTGTTTTTTAATTTTCTTTATTAAGTTAAAAGAAAAAAAATTCTGGTTATGCCTCAGCTAC